GACAACACCTAACAGCACACCAGTACAGGTGCTTGGATGTGCTTGGCGACTAAGCAGCACACAGTAGTTCTCCAGCTTTCTGATGGCAAACATGGAAGCCTTCAGGCACTCCTTCAGCACCAAGAAATTGACACGGATCTCGACGTGCAATGGACTTGGAGGGCACACGTCTATCCGCAAGCCACCAAACTTTCAGCCCCTGGATCAACAAGAGCCATGTTCCCTCGTGCTGATGCATACTCGTCCCGGTACCATTGGTTCCAATGGTAAGGATTGGAAACGCCAGCGCGTGCTGCAGTGTCTTTGGCAGCAAAAGGAACTTGGTGCCCCAAAGAAATCGGCTTAGGTTGCCAATGAAGCCATGCTCGAACACAAGCTCTTGCTCGCCTGAGGGCAGGTGTGGCAGGAACAATGTCAGGTGTTTGGACCTTTGCTCATCCACTCAGTCACTGTGCGTCTATGAATCATCCACTAATCATTATGAATCGACTTGATCACGGTGGGACCAGGATTTCCGTCAGCTGAAGCTGGCACAGGAGTGGTCGTGGTGTCTACAATAGTGAATAGTCCACAAGTATGTCAAGTGGACCAAGAAACTTGAACACATATTATCTTTTATTGCAAGAAATTGGTGGCCAAGCTTTGTCAAAAGACTGGCGGAGCCTGTCGGGTGTTGAGAATATTCTCGAAATGAACGCCATTCCTGACGTCAAACGCAACATCGAGAACCATTACAGCGCTTTTGAAGGGTCTGAACTCAAGCATGGTTCTGATCTGAAGATCTTGGATCTTGGCAAAATTCCTGCCGAAGAGCCTCTAGCGAACGATCAAGCAAAGCAGTACACGAGGGACAGCACGAGTGGCGAGTAGCAAGAGACACAATTACAAGGCAAGCTAATGCAACTTGATGACTTGACGCAAAGGTTTGTTCACATTTCTTGTATCCGCTGAGGTGATCCTCTACAGGAACGATAAAACACTAGCAGTCGTGTTTGGGGAGCTCCCTGTTTATCGTGGTGCGGTAGTACGGGGGAGAAACCCATCTGCCAAACGCTCTCTGGGTTCTCCTCCTGCAAACACCAATGCAATCTATACCCTGAGGATCCACATACCTCCTCAAAGGGCAATTGGGCCCTCCAAGGACTCCAAGCCTTCATAAATCGTCTCCAATCACCATCTCAGGTTCGGTGTGTGGATCCATACGTGCATCCCAAGTCAGCCTTCGTCAGCCTGAAGGAGGCGGAAGCTTCATCAATGCCAGCTTCTAGCTGCACCTTGGAGCTGCCAAAGTTTTCCAGTTCTTCTCCGCTGGACTGGATCTTGCTTACCTCATCTCATCAGCTGGATCGCGCGGGAGATCAGAAATGGTCGTTAATCGCCAGTTACACTGGTTCAGACAGTAGAAATAGTACATCAAAGTGTGGGTATTTTAATCCGGAGCTAGTAGTAACAAGAAGCTAGTAGAAACAAGTGCCACGCTACTAGGAACAGGTGCCTTACTAGTAGTAACAAGGACGCTACTAGGAACAAGGACGCTACGAACTGGGTAGACTGGTCTATCTTCCTTCTTCCAGGGAGCCGAACTGGGAGGATGTGTGTGTGTGTTTGGCGCCGAAACAGGGTATATAAGCTAGGCTCTGCTCCGGATTGATCCGAGAAGCATCCAAAGAGTGGACCAGGAAAGGCCTGCAGCAAAGGACAGCCACTTGCGTTGCAAATAACAGATCTTAACACATCTTGCCCTTGCACCTGTCAACAAATGTCCTACATCCCACGGCCCTACGTAAAACGTTCAAAAACAATCAAAAACACACTTATAGATTCGTATTTAGTTTCTTGGAATCTTTGTGTTGCATCAGCAACGGTCACTGTTTGATTAAGGCCACGGGATGCGACGACAGTTATATACATTGACGCGTCCAGGCCGCTGCTGTCGGTACACGCTCGGCGTGGCTGTAAGCCGCACCTTCCAGCACGCAGAAGCTTCTTGAAGCGACTCTTTGAAAGACCGGTGCCATCCACTCGCTTCAAGCGGCAGTCGCCCGCCACGGTCGCCACCTGGCGTTCGTCTTTTTTTTTGGGGGGGTGGCTGATGGACGCACAGAGAGAAAGCGAATCATGGTGAACTTGATCACTAATGAGGGTCCATCAATGTCCATCATAGCAAAATCTTGGTACTGAGATCCAAAATCTTCGTTCCTTGTCACAAGGACATGTAAAAACCTTCTAGAGATCACCTTCCGCGCCGGGTCCACAATCCCTTCTTTCCAATCCACGGAAGTCCTCCACGGAATCTCCTGCCTTGCCAGGGTCGGCCGCTGCGATCACGCTCAGGGCAACGGCCGCTGGGCTCCATGGCATCGACCAAGCGCCGGTCCGCGTGGCGTGTCCGCGTGGCGCGGGTCCGCGTGAGGGGTCCGAGTCGTTGGAATCTGTTGGAATTTCTGTGATTGGCATTCTATAGCTTCACCGCATGGAGCAAAAGTTGTTCTTTTCAAGATCTCTCTTTTTCGATTCTTTTTAAGCGTGCCTTAATTCATCATTGCTCGCACTCACTTACACACATCATCATCTATTAAACCTGCCTTCCAAATGCATAAGGTATGAGCTCTGATCAGGTGAGACCGACTGAATTCCTCTGCGTTTCAGACCGACCGCGTGGCAACCACCGAGACCCGACTGCCCCGCCCCCTGACCGAAGCGAGGCCCCGAGGCCTGGGGTTTCTGCTCCAACATCACCGCCTGGCATTCCTCATCCAGCCCCCACTGCGCAGCAAACCTCGACAAGTCCAAACATCAGAGGTCGCAGGTGGGTCATCCTCGAATTCCAATCGTGAGAATCTGGGTCGACCATGCTCCAACTTGCAGTTGGTTGACTTCTTGCTCGGCCGGCTGAAACGGACGACACTTCTTGCTGGCAAGGCTCTTCTCGACCTGCTCTTTCATTTCTTCCACTGAAGCTGGTGCCTCATTTCCCCAGAAGCATGAAGAATCGTCGTCAGCTACAAGCCACCCTTCAGACACCATGGTCGTGCTTCTTCAGCACTCTATTTCAAACACTGGGTCGGCTAGGCCTGACGAGGTGCTGGGGCCTTGCCCTTTCCTTTGCCGCGTTCACCCGCACCGTTTTGCGCATATAGAATGGAGCGGACGTAGCCCATCTCAGCGAATCGCGCACGATCAGAAGTTATGCATCCAACATGAACGAAAATCCATATTTAAACCAGTGAGTCTGGTCTGGCTCATGACATGCATGCGTTGTAGACGTCACAGGATGTCCATTCCCTCAGATATGAATCACTTCAGATGTGGTAAAAATTCACATCGCCAAGCTACAAAAAGGCCAGAGGCATTCAAGGTACCTGGCTTGGGTCGGAAGCCTTCCATCACGGTTGCCAACCTTAGGCACTCGTCTCACGAGGGTCCAAGAACGTCCGTTCGAAACGCAGGAAAAAACGGGGCATGACCTGCGATGATGGCGCTGATGGCGCTTCACCACAAAGGGCTCAAATGCTCGACCAACATGGCATGAGCTTGGATTTCTTCGACTCGGCGAGGTCCCGCATTGGGCCGAGAAGCATTGATGTTGGCAACTCGAGCAGCCGGTTGACGCATGCCTCAAGAGGCTCGAAGAATACCATGCAGAACGATTGACAAAAAGCTCTCATAAGCCTGATAAACAAACATGTGTATGGCCAATAAGGCCATCCAAATGATAGACCATCACTGCAACGTCAACATATCAACATATATAAGCATGTCAACATATACGATGCCTCCCGTTCAGTGCCTTTTGGCCAGGCCCCTCCCCTCTGGCTTCGCGCCTCATCCAAACCCTGCTGTTGCGCCCAGCTGCGGCACAAGGCTTCTGTGGCCTTTGCTGTTTTCGACGTCTGCTTTTTTCTGCGATGTCTTCGACATGTTCGACGCTGATCGTCGCAGGGAGTCGAAGGGAAAAGAAGAACACCGTGTCAACTAACATGTTCCAAAAAAGGGCCCCAAACTGGAAAAACCTCCTTACGGTATACCATTATGAAATCCTTCTGCACAGGGGCCTCTGGTTTGGCCCCACCTTCAGAGCCAGCTAGATCAACCGAGACCGATTCGATGACCCGCCCCGCGCCCATGGGATCGAACAATCCCAGCAGCTGGATCCGGGGCAGCAAGCATCTTTGAAGCATGCTGTCAGAAACACACCACACCGTTTCTTTTTATCTAGTTGTATAATGGGAACTGTGAGTGAGTTGTGTATGAAATAGATATCGGATGATATTGGCACCAATAATTATATGATGGAGTAAAAATGAATAAAGCATGAATCAACCTCAAAGCATAGTGAAATATGTCCTATAAAACGAGCAGCGTCTCTGTGGCTCAAGGTTTTAGTGTTCACTTTGACATCCTAAAGGATACCTACCTCCTTGAACATACACTCGGACCCTGAGCCAAAATCTGCGGGTCTCCCTGACCATTGTGGAGATTGAAAGGGAAGCCCGATGAATGGCACATGGATGAGGAATATGTTTTTTCTCGCCCGCGACACTGTCACGGTTGGTCAATACTTCATCACTCGGAGGTAACCCCTAGACTGACAGAGACTATAGACACGAGGGAGAGAAAACCAGATTTCTCCAGGAGACGACTTACCCACATGTCTTCTCTTCCTTGACCATCTGAGCCACTATGTGAAAGCATGGCTGGTAAAGTCTCAAAGAGATGTCCACAAATCCCAGTCTGGGTGTGTGTAAGAATAGGGAGACCTCCCAAATCCTTCCAGGAAGAAGAAACATAGACCAAAGCCCATTGGTTGGGGGTCTCCCTTTTAAGGGTACACAGCCATCTATGCAAACAAAACTCTCCATCTCAAGATGACTTTACTCAAGCCCGTGCGACTTAACACAAACACAGCCAGTATACAGTTCTTGCTTTCATTTGGACCCATTTGGGTTGTTCCTTGTTCATCCTGGCTTGGAATTGAATGATGTAAACACACCACGTGCCTTTGCATGGCCAAGGTCATGATCATCTCCAAGAGCCTGCTGCACATGTAGCCAGTTCTCCTGTCGCCAAGATCGAACACCTGTATCAATCTATTCCTGAAGAGTGGTGAATTGGCCCTCCCCAAGTGGTCGTAGATGGTTTGATTGTTCCTAGTCCAGGTTTCGACACCTTTCTGCCAATCAAATATAATCAAATGAGAGGAATTTGACACGGATGTGCATGGCAATCCGGCCAGTCCCTTTTGATCCAAACTGTAGGATCTGCAGGACCAGCTGCACCACTAAGCTGCACCCTTTTCAACCTTCCAACTGTCTGGAATTGCATTTAGAATAACACCCATTCATCGATGGACACGCAACAGGTGGATGGGAGCGTGAAAAAAATGGCCACTCCCCATCTGGTGAAAACCTTCCTCCATGTCTCCCCGCAATGCCTCCACGGTGTTCTCTCCCCTCATTGCGTTGATGACTCATTCCCCCTTGCCCCACCCGTTGCTCCATGCCACGCCCTCATTGCCCTCATGCCTCTTTGCACCATCATTCCTCCCGCAATGTTCCTCCCCCTTGTTGCCCACTGATTGTGCGTTCTTTGCTGCCCCCGGTGTTTTATGTTGCAGTGTTGCCATGTGATCGGCCCTTTAGGACACCCAGAATGGATGCAACCACCTGGACCTTCAAGGGGTGTCCAATGGAGGTCCCTTAGTAGTGTAGGGGCTTCCATTGGAGACCCCGTTGAAGGTGCTGGTATATGATTCCCTTTGCACAAAGGTGTGAGGATTTGCAGAACGTGCTTTCTTCGGACCTTGAAGCTGTTGGCATCTTCTGCAGTAAAATCACGGCCACGCTGTACATATTGATATGTTTACAGGAATGAATGACTTTGGAATTAAGTGTGCCATTCTAAAACACCAGAAGCAAAGACCCTCCAATATGTGTGAAACATGTGGATCAAAACGCTGTGGCAGTGGGTTCAATTCCTTTGTTGCACCAAACAATCATTCTTATCAACACACACACAAGTTCAGAGCAGGTTTGTTCCTGGATGTTATCGGTTGACGCGTGGAGCAAATGGTTCCTCACCTTGGAGTTTTGAGGTAGCTGTCGTTAGAACATGTTCTCAAAGAATTGGGCGGAATCTTTTGAACTTGCGCCTCTACCTTAAAGACTCCGCCTTCACTGTAAGACCTCCGCCGGGCTTGTGTGGGGCAGATTTTTTACTTGTGTGCAGCTTCGTTGGACAACCTGGGAAGCTTCCAGCTGTCCGAAATGAAGCTAGATAACTTTTGGGGCAAAAGATTCTACGACATTCAAAGTTAAGTTTATATACCAGCAGTCACAAGACGGGGTGGTGTTTAGTCCCATCCAATGAGTGGATGTTCTGGGCACCCCTAACCTTCATGGATCGCACCCCGTCTTCTGACTGCTGGTACATGCTTTACACAAAATCGTTGTCTGCGATTCTTTCCTCACCTGCCAGGAAGAGAGACCCTATCATTTTGGAACCCCCAGGCCGCGGGCCTCCACAGGGGTGACCCTCAAGCTCGCTAGCAATGGTTTTAGTTGCAAACCACTTCACCTGTGAGAAACCACTTCACCAGCAGTAAGAAACCACCACTTCACTGCCGAGATCACGTGCCAACTCCTCTAGCCGCCAACGATCACTTTGAGACTTCACCGGGCCCTTCTATGAACGCTCCCGTCTCCGTGCGCACCAACGCCGCTGCTTTGGTCACCGTCCTCCAATCCTCCACCTCCAAACAAAGGCCCTTCTGCATCGCTCGAGCCACCTCGCGAAGTGAGAGAGGGAGAGCAGAGAGGAGAGTACTGGCCGACCACTGAAACAAAAGCCAGTAGGTCCTGCCAACACGTTTGCAATCAAGCATGCAATGTTCAATTCAAGTACTATGGAATGGAATAGTCCTGCCCATAATTATATACATGGCTGAGCAGAAATCACATGTCGGGCCAGCAGGTTCGAGCCAGGGTGTATGGTTCGGGGGGCATGGTTTTGTATATATGGATCGTACGTCGTACAAGTCGAACCTTCCACCTTTTAGTACACTTCAAAGTCTCAAAGACCAGGACAACCCACCGTCCACCGTCCGACCACTGTGACCGGCAGTAGTTTCACGCGCGAGGAAGCAACTCACAGACTTCTCCCTCTGCCCTCGGTGGCCTCCACTTGCTGCGCGAGGAACACCGTGTTCGCGATGTGTTGCTTGGTCCAAGCTGGAAGGTTTACTGGCTCCACCTCCTGAGGACAGGCCTTCGACCGAATGCGGGTTGGGATGGACCTACCCAGCCCCCACGTGCCTTCGACCGGATGCCTTCGATGGTTGTTATGACGATCCAGTGGTTGCGATATGTGATGATATGTGTGATGCGAGGCTCGGCGATGCCCCCCAAAAGGGCCGCAAAGTGGGAGGCTCCGGGATCCCTGAAACAAAGGGCAAAACCTTCAAGATCTTCCCTTTGTGGACCACGACGACGACGAGATCCTGCAGTGCCAAGTGTTGGACTACCGGCTTGATGAGGTGCATCAAGAGCGTTGGCCCTGACAACGACGCCAGACGCCGCGACGCGCCGCGTGGGGGGCGAAGCGAAACACCTTCCAGCGGAGTCCGCACCGAAACGAAAGGATAACAAAGGAAAGAGCCAAAAGAAGGAAGGTCCCGAGGTGGGCGCATCTTCTCTTACTCTGTTGGATGGGGAGGAGTCTTCACACATCATATCGATGGGTCACCTGGGGGCAGTTTAGGGTATAGTTTGATGTCCATTTCTTTCGTGCAAGCACACGGCTGACCGATCATCCTGTGCCCTGAGATGCCCCAAGAACAGCCAATTCGAACACAGGTGAGATACACCGGGTATGGCCCGGGCAAGGCCCGGTCAGATACACCGGGGTGGCAGCACCGGGCTATACAGCGACCCTTTGGGACTTAGACCGGAACGCATGGCCCACATCCCTTAAAATGTGGGGTCAACATCGTTCTGAACGCTACAAGAAAACGCTCTCGCAAACGCGTGCGCAAAAAGCGCGCACCGTTTGCAACCCAAAAGACTGAAACACACTGAACACAGACTGTTTGTGGTTTCAGACCTGTAACACTCTTGATGGTCATTGACTTACACAGGTCTAAAATGGTCTAAGTTTCGGAATGTTTCGGATGATTCAAATGTTGCCAAACGCCGAACATGTTTGTGTAGGGACGTTTGGAAGAAGGACTGCCCTGCACATGGTTTTGGAAAGCCTATGACATGGTGATTGCGGAAGCGAAACGCGCTCCGTCTTTAAGTTTCTGATGGTTACGAGTCACTGGAGCAATCTACGTATAGCACATAGACGCTGGTTGTAGGTGGTTGATCGTCCTGCTGGCTCAGAAGTCGTTGAGAGCCGACAGAGTCTCTTCTCCAAGAAACCTTTTGGCCGCTCTTGGAGAATCTCTTGGTCACCCACCAAGAAGATATATCACGCCACCTCTTCACAACCACCTCTTCAAGCACGTGTGGTTATTCTCTTCGACACACACCCGGGTCTCACAGCGTTTCCCGCCCCGAACCGCCCCGCGAACCGTGGCTGGCGTCCCGAACCGACCCCGCGGACGAAGCGGCCTTGTGCTTCCCAGGCGTCGGATCCGGTGGGCAGTCCCTGCAGAAGTGACTCCGTCGCCATGACCTTGGCGCTTCGAAGCGGTCGGCGTTCTTGGCGGTTCGAGGGTGGGCTGGACGGCGGGCTGGAAGCACCGGTTCATTTGGAGCGATCGACATTGGTGTTCAATGCACACGCAGTCTTTTGCACGGCAATATGTTGTGGTGTATGTCATGTTACAATGCCTTTCGAATCCGAGATCTTCGAGTTGTTGAATGACCAACTTTTCGATGGGTTGATGGATTTATTCCACACGGGTTGCTGGGGCTTTGTGCCATCTGACGCCACGCCCGCCATGAGTTTTCTTCTTGAGTCTCGTGTCAGCAGCTCTCAGTAGTTGGCTCCTGCCAATTCATTCGAATACTTGGCGCCGCCCAGTGCCTCCAATCCATCAGGCGGTGACAACTGAGCAAGACACCACTTTTTTCAGAGTGGCAAAAAATTGAGTTGGCACTTTTCTTGGTGCAGGTCAGTGAGCCAATTGATCTGACAATGTTATAACAGTTATTTGATGAACTTAGTAACTTCGATTGATTCCCTCTCACACACACGCAACATGTTCAATTTATGAGCAAACTACTTCTCTGACATTCTCTTCCGGTATTCATCCTGACTTCAACATTTTTCCAACGCGTACCGGGGGCGTACCGGCGTACTGGACGTCTTGAAACGTCACTACCGGGCCTCGATGATTTCTCGGTTGCTCAGCTCGTCGAAGCCGCGGACCTGCGTAAAAGCGGACTGCATCACATGCTTGTTGCTATTTCTTGTTGAGGATATGGACCCTCCTTCCGCTTTTTCGCTGGTCCTTCGAGTTGTTTTGTGCTTTGTCTCATTTTCTCTACATCAGTCTGGGAGGAGGCAACACCTGACCAACCGCCTTCAGCCTTTGTGGATGTTGCCAAGACACCCAACAGCATGCTGCACAAGCAAACATCTTGACTTCCGTCATCCTCAGGCCATACGGAGGCCACACGGGAGACTCACCATCGTCTCACCCACTATACTTGTTTCACAAATGAGACGCGCAGGACCCCTCCCCACATGATAGTCACTAGGCGACTTGGACTCACCCGACCTCCACCTCCATCAAAGCAGAAAATGGCGTACAGGAGAAATGCCCCAGGCTCCGGAGATTCCTCGAGCCCCCGGCTCCGGCGGACGCGGCGGAAGCACCCCACCGAGCGGTGCACGTTGACGCGCGTTTACGCGGGCGCACGAGAGAAACCGTGCGGGGGTTCTGCGGATACCATGAGAGGGATGATATCACTGGTGGATGTGGATGTGATGTGACTTCTACCGACCCAAAGAACCGTTTCTTTCCATGATTGCCTTGGCTGCCTGTGTCCAACCACTTGTGGACAGCAACGTTCCCCCCCATCACTTTCTACGAACACAGCCTCCGTCTGGCACCATCCGTCGGTCCCGTCGGTCGCCGGTCCTTGTGTCCAAGTCTTTGGATGGTTCACACTGCACGTAGAAGATGGGTGGAAGCTCAGCAGCTCCTCATCGAACGAAAAACAATATGGTGACCCCTTTTTCGGAGGTCGTGTGATGCTTTTTCAGCGAATGAAACGTGATTGTTCTTTGTGTGTGTGTTCTTTGTAATGACCAAAACGGAGGGCTTGTCCAAGTGGTTCTTGGAAGATTTCTCTGATGTAAATCTTGAAATTGAGCTCTTGACTGGCACCCATATAGGACAAGCGCGCATAAAGAAACGCCTGAAACAGTGCCAGAGCTGCAAAGAATGACACAAGCATCTGTGGCGATGCTTGGTGTCCAGTGACCGTAAAACAAAGCAAGGCAACTCTGTCCGTTCGGGTCAATATGGTCGTCAATGAACTGCTTCACCAATCACTTCCAATCTTTGCCTCGCAATCAGTGCTGTCAGAAAGAAAATTGGGTCTGCCCACCTCAGAAGTTGCCCATGAATGACAGCATGTTGGCACTGGAACCATACTGGAAAAAAAGCAAACGCCTTCTTTCTTGCGGTCGATGTTTCCTTCTTGCGAAGAGCTGAACTCCAGAAACGATGTGAAGAGCTGGGACACCCAGACACGGGACATCTGTGATTCGAAAACGTTCTCTGCCTCGCCAGAGATCACAAGCCTCGAGAATCCGATCCGCACAGCACAGCGTGATTTTGCAAGAGGATAGTTTGCACGACAAGTGCCAGAAAGAAATGGTCATCAAGACATGTATGTATAAGTCATATGAAGGGGATCGCTCTTAGTAGTTCTTAGTATATATCTGGTTTGGGGCCACTATAGTAATCTGTTGCTTGCCATCAGGCAGCATGGTGGTAGCTGCTTCAACATGAAATACTATGAATCCTCTTCTGACAAGAGGTGTTTGGGCTGAGCAGAGAAGAGGTTCAGTTTCAAAATGACAATATTCAATTGACACCTAGGCGCAGGTAGCTGAAACCTGTGAAGTTCAACAAAGAAATTGTTACCTTCTTTGCATAACAAGGCTGAGCGCAGGATTCCCACGAAATTATGTTAGTAACTCTTGCCATTGGGATGACAAAGGCCAAGGGTGATATCATGGTGTTCAAAAGACTGACAAGAGGCATTTTGCTTTGAAATGTGGCAACATCCATTATTTGCTGCAAGTGAGTGATCGGTTGGTAGTTTTGGTTGACGAAAATGTTACTGCAGTAAAAGAAAGGAAGGCGTCCACAAATTCCAGTCTTTGTTTCTGGTGCTCATGCAGGCTGGAAGGGCAAAATGGCAGCTACCATGATAGGCTGGGAGCAGGAAGATTGGCACAGAGTTCGTAGACTCTTGAGCAGGTGGGGTAGAATTCCAGAGATGTCAAAAAACATCTCATCGTCTGTGGTTGAAAAAGATCCTTCCATCAATGGCCAAAGATCTATGATGGCATGTTTCGCTGAGTGGCCAATAAGTCGATGTTTCGCTGATGCCGAATGGGAGCAATCTGATAGAATGAGTTACTCAGCAGAAAGCTACTGCTGTTGTCTGAGCTACTGCTTGAAAGCAAGGTGCTGGGCACCTTGCACACAATATTTCCATGGTTTATGCACTGTTTGACTAGGGGTGTGCTAAGCTTTCTCTCCTTCTGGGCAGGAAGCAAGTCGGAGGCAGGAATGGCTGGTCTACGCTGAGAGTTGAGGACAGTGGATATTTCCATATTGGCAGAAGACTTGCAAGCCATGGCTGTTGTTTGCAAAGAAAACTGTTGGTGGGCACAAGCAAGCTGGCTACATAAGTACAACTACCTCTGACATGCTTTTCTTTCCGCAGGCTTTTGCAATACTTGCAAAGCAAACTGTGCGCTTGCAACATGATGCGCTGCCAGCAGAGTGCAAACGCTTTGTGGCATGGAGTAAAGTCTTGGATAGCTCTCAGCTTCCGGCTTCCAGCCTTCAAAATATGCTGAAAGCCTCGGGAGCTGCCGCTAGCAGCCGCTAGCATAGGTGTGCACTTGACAGGCAGGTGGCGAAGAAGCAGAAGCCACTCAAGCAGAGGCCACAAATGACTGGCCGAGCGGTATTTGGGTATTTAGATGTATTTAGTATAGCTGAACTCAATCAGAAGCCACAAAGAATGTAATTATACACTATTAACAGCTATAAATACCCAACAGGTTGAACCCCTAAGGTCAAACCATTTATCTGTGAAAACACGTAACCTTTCATGATGGCACATGGGTACCGGTCACATCCGGCCGCGTTTGGCAAGGAGACCAGTCAAGACGATATATATCTTGTTGGCACATATACCAGCACCCTCCAACAGGCTGTTAGTTGAGGGTTGTTAGGCCCTAACAGGTCTCTATTGGTGACCTGTCGGAGGGTCCTGGTAGTTGCTTGTTGTTCAAACTGTCTCTTTTGAGGTCGCCTTTCTCACATCAAAAGACACCCCCATGCCAAACACCAAAATTTACGCGGAACCGTCCATACTTCGTCTGGTCACCATTGACGCGGAACCACTGCAAAGCGGTCATTGGTAAAGAACTGCCCTTGGACCTCAGGTTCCAATGGTCCGACATCGTCAGGGTGGACGGTCCGACATCGTCGCAGGGAGGTTAGCCAGGACAAGAAGAATACGTGCACAACTTGCATGTGTTGCAAGCAGCCAACAAATGAGACAGTAGGGTGATATAGTGATGCGCCAAGGAAAAATCACCAGCAACAGGGAGGAAGCGCTGCTCAGTGCATGTTTGGGGCTTCCAGCATTAGGATATATACTTTTAAAAACTACAAATGTGATCCGTAAAATGTCTACCACAGCATCACGTTCTTACTTGGTTGCTTCCCTTCACTTGTTGCAGCCTGGCACCCAGCGCCCTGCAGGACATGTATGGGACATGTCCCATTGAGAGTGGAGGATGTTTGGCCATCCTCCGGATGTTTGCACTGACCAACTACACCCGGGAAAAGACTCACATGGAACCGGGCTTGGCATGGACCAGACTGGAAAACGATCTTCCTCTACAAACCGGGTTGAGTCTCTTCCCGGGTGTATCAGTTGACCAGTCTCTTGACTTCATCGACCTCTTGAGCTGCTGTTCGACTTTAAGGCTGCTGAGGCTGCTTGGCTTGGATCCCCTCTTTTTCTTGCGCCAAGACACTGCAGGGAGCCAAATGGCATCTTCATCCATCTCCTGAGCTCCAGGTGCTTTTTCTTTCGTGTCTAAACAAGGCAATCTGGCTTTGCCAAAATCCCGTGGCACCGCGACGAAAAGACAGCAGCTCGCACCTACTAGGCAAGACCTTTGATCTGGGCACGAACTCCGGGCAGAAATCATCAATCCTGTTTTTTTTCCCGAAGTCTAGGCACCAGACGCTAAGCAAAGTCAGCTTAGGCAGGGGAATGAGCCATTGCAAATCCCAACGTGCGTACAAGATGTGGGAGTACCTGATAAAACGACACAAGGACAAATGTTTCCCCAAAGAAATACTGCGCTACAGTATATAGGAACGTGGCACAAGTCGCATGAAAAAATCATCAGAAAACAGAAGAGCTCACAATAAACACTTAATGCAGTATTTTCCTATTTATAGAGCCCTCCGACATGAGTTTTTAGTTGTGTATATTTTTAATCAGGTACTCGGGTTTAACACCGGAACGTGGTCGAGTCACAAACAGTCTGTCAGTGTCATGGTTCTACTGTCAGACCTTCCAGTTCCCACATTGTTCCCAAATTTGTCTGCCAGTGATCTGATGGTTAAAGCTTGCTTCCACACAGTCTTTTTTTAATGACATAAAGACCTGGTGAAGTTTGATCCCACATGTCGATCTTCTATTGCTTTCCAAAAATTGTCAAAAATTCAGTGGCCCAAACATTTGTGTCTTTGCGTCCATCGGGCACTGGTGGCCCATGACATTCGTCTCGTGCCATTTCACCGCATCAGCACACCACCTCGGTCCGACGTCCTCCGATCAAGAGGAGTGTCGACCGATCGACCACCCAGCGGTCAGTCCCAAAATAGAGGACGGTCGGACGGGTCACAAGTTGCGTATTTGTTCTGATATATCATATATCATCTATATCTATCATAAAGTGTATCAAACATAGATTTTAGTATCATTTAGTTACAGTATATGATGATAACATGTGTTTAATCGATTCATAGACAACGTCCGCATCTTCTGGATCCGACGATCAATCCAACATGTGTGCAGAGAGATGGTTCACCACTGACTCGGCCACGTGACTGCAACGCACGAAGCTGCGCAAGGCCTGCACCAGGCCTCACATGATGACCTGGAAGATGGCAACAAGCGTCATCGGACGGGTTTTTCGGAACGTGGTACCGGAAAAGAACAGATGTCGCCGGCAAATTCTGACTGCTTGAACAGACCAGTGCCTGGACTGAAACCTACAGAGGAAAGGAAAAGCAGAAGCAAGGAAGTCTACCTCCGAGGCAGTCACCTGAGGCGGTCACCAGTGGTACCGTTTGAGAAGTGTACGCCCCATCCCGAAAAGCTGCTCATGTTCGACCTAGGCACGAGAAGCGAAGACCTCAGGTCTGAGAAGCGGTTGGGTTCAATCGTCCACAATGGCACGAAGTCAATTGATTCATATGAATTATATTGGTATAAGCCCGAGATAGCCCGAGAAGACTGAGATCAATTCCAGCTGTAGCGTGCTTGCTGATGATCCTAGAATATCCGACAGTTCGTCGTCATCGACAGTTTGACCGGTTGTCCACTGTTTGCGGATGTTTGAAGTCTGATCGATTTGCGGACCAAATCCGATCTGGCTCGTCCGGTCCAAGGATCTGGCCAATTGCGATCTTTACCACCAGTCACATCATCATGACCAACACCTGACCTTGGGACGTGACGTTGAACATTGGTAGGCCCAAGTAAGAAGCAGCCCAGGAAAGCACGCAGCATATGCGACCATGGGTCCGTTTCAAGAAATTGGAGTTGATGTCCCAAAAGACAAAGCCACGGAAAACGACGAGTGCGAGGTCATTATTAATATAAACATGACTCAGACTCTGACTCATTCTTATACTAAGTAGCTTGCTGTTGGTCTTCGCTTCAAACGTCTTCAAAGAAATATGTCATCCGAAAGTCCAAAGAAAAGGACGACCTGAGGGCGCAGCATTCGTTTACTTCCACGGGGCTTAGATCCACACAATTTCAGACAATAGATTTTGCCGCACCAGCTTTGGGACACGGATCAGTCGGAAATCTTTGTTCCTCAGGTTAAGTACCTTGAAAAATGCGTTGAAGTATCAAGGGCATCTGCTCAGGATACTCATTGTGGGTGGTGATGAATGGATCCATTGGAACGTTCTCGACATCCGGGGCATGCAAAGGGCTGCAGCCTGCCAGGCGAGCTCCACCGCGGCGGAATTGATGGGACAAGAGGAAGGAGTCCTGTGCAAAAAAGCCATTGATGAACCGTCCACTCACAAGCTGTCTGAGCTTGGACCAATCTTCGTCCAAAGCTCGGCTGGGGGTGCCTAACATCACGGCATCACAAACGATATCACTGGCAACATGGTCGCCATCCTTGACCATCTCTTGTAGTTCCTTCAAGCAGCTCTCGACCACGACTCCACCGGTCGAGAAGCCGACCAAACTCACTGTGAAGGAGGCATTCCGACGACGGGCGTTGGTACGAGCTTCCAGCAGTTGACGAGCCAACAGCTTCCCGACCTGAGTGGGAAAGAAAAGCAATGCAAGTTGGCTGGAAGCTTGTGGAGAGCTTGTGGAGCTGTGTATGTGATCACATGTGATCACACATACACACACCAGTGGAATCAGGTGGAGCTTGCTTGAAGCTCGTGTGATCGTGTGTGTGTGTCTTCCTCTGATGGTCTGGTGACGTAGTGGAATAAATACAATGTATGCGCTCTTGCAAAGGTCACCCTCGCAGCTCCATTTAAGTCTCCTGGAATAAGTGCCTTCTTACATGATGGGGACTATGATGTGAAAACCATTCAGTCCCCGTGCTAAATGCACGACATGCTCCTCCTTTTGTGTGTTCTATTCTCATGGCTTCCCCACTCCTCCAACGACACGTGCCCCACTTCCCCCGCCGTTGACCGCGGCCTGCTCCGCCCTTGTGGCCGCTCGGTCCAAGAAGTCGCCCAGCTCGTCCAGCAGCATCTCGGTGAGGCGCTGGGAGAAACTGATGAGGTTCGTGCACGCCACCAGGAAGCGCGCCACGTACTCGGTCCTGCGAGGGCGAAGGGGGACTGGGTGTTGGGGTACGGTTGGAGGGTACGTGGAGGGTGTTCGAGGGCCCACTGGGGACTGGGAGGCGGTGTGATTTGCGGCACCACGGTGGCGCCGAGACGCCTGAGAGGTGGTGCTGGTGCCGCTATGTGGCGCTTTCATGCAAAGGAGGGCGGCCACCTCTAGGATCTGTAGGCGCGCGACTCTCGGCTTTTTCCGGGAAGGCGGTTGGAGAACGGGAGAGGGATAGTACGTCAAAACAGAACCCACCGGGTGGGATGTGAGAAAAGGGCTCGAAAGTACTAGAAGTGGCTGGTAAGATGGAGACACTGACCATCTTTGGATCCTTTTGGGGATCTTTTGGGGGTGGATTTGGTGGAAGAAAAATGATGCCTTCGACTTCGCCGCTCAATGCTGCGTCCTCTTGAGATCCCGTGCCAAAACATCATTCAGCTGCACACCCAGCAAATGAAGCACTTCCGTCTCAAAGCGAAGGAAGTGGACTTGTGCCGAAGTCCAGGGCCTGTCGGGATCCACGACCCAGGGTTGGCAAAGATCTGCGAAGGAACGCAAGAATCCCGAGATACAAATGACTTTGTGCGGAGACAGCGCTTCACCAATCGACTCCAGCTGCAGTTCCCGGAGCTTCAACACCCGTCGACGCATGTAGGTGAAAGCGGTTTTGCCATCCATGAGTCCTGACAGGATGAAGATGCTCTTGAACCATCCCGGTGATTCTGCCACCCATTCCATGAAGTTGTCTAAGTACGAGTCCTTCATCACCCAGCAGGAAGCTCGCATCAATGCCATGTGCTCATAATCCTTGTGACACAGAATGCGAGCGTCCATCGTATGCACAATCACGGCTGTCTCCACAATGGAGAAAGCCATGATCGCACCACAAAGGCTTCCTATGCACACTGAAGCTGGAACCAAAAATGGATATTGTCCAGGCAATACTTCCAGCTGCCACTCCTCCTTCTCTCTATCGAGCAGCCGCTGCGTATCGATCTGTGGAAAGAAGTTGGAATACATGGCCTCACGGCCCAGCCGCAACTGCTCCTTCTGCTGTGCAGCTGTATACTCCGCCACTTCGCCTGGGGAATCCCCAAGCTCATCGCTGGAAGTCCCGAGCTGCACAACCAAGGGCTGAGAGACTTCTAACTCCCCACAACTCACGAGATGACGTTCTAAGAGTTCAAAGAACAAGGAGCCATGTGACCCATCAGGTTCAATCGCCTCAGAGGCTCTTTTCAGAGAGGAGCGTAGCAAAGCGCCAGTGGAGCGTAGCATGCACAGCAAAGTGCCCAAAGGAAGCAAATGTTCCATTTGTGAAGTGCTGCGACAAGAACGTCTATATGCCTCCGCAGCCTTCTCAATGGTCTTGTAGCTCACGGCTCTGCGAGCGCATGTCACCAGTTCCGCTGTGAGCACATGTCCATCATCCAGTAGAACCTCGCAAATCTCTTGGACAATGTTCTCAAGTCGATTCTCAAAAACCACCACCACCCAGTCTTCATGGTCGATCATGCGTCGTGCTGCGGCCACCGCACAGGTGCAACAAAGGATCGCCAAGCTTTCCTGAGCTCACGGGTCAACGGTTGAAACAGAAATGCAAGGCATAAATACAAAGAAATTGGAGTAATAAAGAAACACCTATTGGACATGTAATGTACTGAACATGATTGACAAGTTTGACATGTCTTCAGTCAGCTTTCGTTCTCCCACACAGGTTAAGTAGATGTATAATATAAATAGCAGGTTCAACGAACCATTCTCATCTTCTGAAAGGCAAATCATGGCCTGTTTCAGGACGCTTGTTCATGGCCAACGTCTCTTGTGTGATACTCTTGAATATCACATGCATGGTCGCGCAAACATTGGTGAGTGCGGCTGGCATTTCAGGTGCCAGCTGTGCTGCTCTCTAGTACATTTCTCACAGTGAGCAACAATCCTGATCGAAACGTGTGAGTTCACTCATTGCCCTTCACTGCATCAGGCAGAGTTAATAACGATCTTAGGACCCTTGATGCTATTACAGCTTCCTACAGTTTCCATTAGCTATAGAATGCAACGCTACATATACACGTCAGCCTCAGAGTGCCTCAAGACCAAGGACGGGTAAATCAACTGCGCTTATAGAGTGTACGGTTTGATTACCCTGAAACAATCATGGTTACGTGGATGGCACGACCCCTGGAAAGAACATGCAATCCGAATACCAACCAGGGGGTGACTCCACGAAACCAGGTTATATGCGGAGGGGTACTTACGACCTGAGCCTGAGAGGTTCCGAGCCCTTAGCTGAAGTCTGAGCTCACAAGTTGACATGTCTGACATCGCGCAGTCGAGCTTCCTTTTGTTCGCTGAAAAGGTCTTCTAATGCAGGTAAGCCAGAAGGCCGTACTGTGCTCGAAGTGATGATCTCTGCCAAATACTGCAGGCTTTCACGCTGTAACTCTTCTGCCTTCTTGCTCTGTGACAAGGCTTGTCTGAAAGTGCTCTCCAGTGCGGTAGGGCAAGCAACAGGCTCTTGCATGAACTCGATTTCCAGCTCTATCTCCCCTGCAATTCGAGAACTAGTACTACCGCCAGTACCACCATCTGCAGCTGAAGTTTCACTTGTGCTTGCACCAGGGCGCACAGTGGCAATGGAAGGTGCAAGGGTAACGTGCATGCGAACCCTCGGCTGTTTTGCATTCTCATCTAAGAGTTCTCCCTGCTCTGTAAAAGCAACGCTGAATGCATCATCAAGATCAAGTGTGCCGCAGGCAACGAGGTTGTCCGGGTAGTAGAAAAATAGATCGTCATAAACCATAAACTCAATCACTTCTTGTTGTTGATACCAAAAGGTAAACTGAGCATTGCTATAGGTAATTTGCAAACCATTCTCTGTGCGCATATGATACCCGAATTCGGGCTCATTCATCCGTCGCTCCTCCAAAGAAGGCACAGCTTTGTAGCGATCCAAACTTCCACGAAGTAAGTCGCCACAATCGAAGTCGCTGGTGGCCTTGGGCATCTTGGTGAAGACAAACTTCTCCCGGTCTTGCCTGCAAACCAAAGTCTGTTTGACAGTCTTTGTCCGTTTGGTGCGTGGAGAGTGAAACAAACAGGTACTTTGGATGATGACTACGAGGGCTCTGAGCGGTACACAGGATTCAGGCCTCAAACATCTCGCAATAGGATCACAATCACAAATGGGTACAAATTGGGTGTAGGCTTATTAATGAAAGGACACACAAAGAGGTGGAAAAGAATTGCACAAGGGCTACGAATTTCACCCACCACCTGAAATTTGCGGAGTGGATATACCGGCTCAGACCGGCCTAGGAAAAGGCTTATGAAAAACGAAACAACATAACATACCAAAACGGATTCAGGTACAAAGAGCATGTTTCTACATGAGGAAACTGGCGGTTGTCATGATCCAGGCTCCGTGATGGAGCCATGCCTTCAACCACCAAGTGTTGCCAACGACTCGTCCAAACGAAGGACCTGGCCTCCCGGCCGTGAGAAAGGCCGCTTTGGTCCGTGCAGTCTGCTGGCCACAGGACGCCATCACGTATGGAGCGATCTTCCGCTGACCTGGAGGGAGTGAAGTCTATAAGTTCATTCGCTCCACAAATCAAGGACTTGTGAAACGAACTACCAGTACTGCAGACAGAGTCTTTTCCGGAAGTACTACTTGGTCGAGACCGTCCGACTTGAAAAAGGATCACCCCTGCAAATCAGGGCACACGCAGCTGATCGCAGCTGATCGCAGCTGAAGACACCTCGCGCCTCTTTGCACGTCCGCAATCGCCAAGTTCTCTTCGACACGCAAAGATTTTAAGGTGACCCTCACCTGCGAGGTGTGGAGGCGCAGCTCTTCGGCACTACGCTCTTGTTGAGGTATGAGAACATCACCACCTGCAGAAAAAACAAAACGTTTGTACATCACTTCGTTCATCAAAACACGACATGTCATCAGCATCATCGTCACCGTCACAGCAGACCCTCTGAGGACTCTCTTCCCACCACAGTCATTTCCGGGCGTTACAGTCGACTGTGCCTTCCAGCACAGCACTGATGGCGACCACCAACTCCGGCCGCACATTCCGCTGCTCCGAGTCCGGCGCCGCAGAGAGATCCGCGCTGGGCACGGGCGAGTTCCGCTCGTGTGGCGCGCCCAAGGGCAAGGCGCGATGAAATCCGGTGCTGGAGCTACTAAGTGCGAGGACTTCACGTAGGGGTAGGATGCAACCACCCAGCAGCTCACCTTCACAAGTCACCTGAAAAAGCAGAAAGCGGCTTGCTTAAGGCCAGGTGAACTCTGGCAAGAAGAAACATGGTTGGTTGAGGTTGAGGAGGAATACAGGAGTACAGTACTATACACAACCACCTTTTTAGAATGTTTCGGGACAAGTTGCCTGGAAGGCCAAATGCGATTCATGTCCTGTGAAAGGGAGTTCGATCCGCCAATCAAAGATGGGATGAGGTCCGAATGCTTCGCCCAAAGGAGAGCGCCGCTCGTGAGGTCCTAGGACCACGACTGCTTGGGGTGGATACCAATGAACTCCGGGCAAACGAAGGTTCTTGGCCTGCACAACTGTCACAAAGAGTTTGCTGCGTTGGCTCCTTTGAGAGTATCCCCGGACTCGGGGGTAAAGACGCTCTTGGAGCTGCTGCCATTCAGACATTGTGGGCCTTTATGAAACGAGAACGTGTTACTTTCATGTAGCTGGACTCACAACTGTTGCGTTTGTAGCTTTCTGAATCCAACAAACAGACTGGCTAAGCATCAATGTGTCTTTGCTGCCTAGGATACATCAAAACTAGTCAGACTACCACTCAATAATCTCTATAGGATTGCATTCATCAAACCGGACTGCGGGCGCGAAATGTACTTTCAATATAGTTGAAGCCTGCAAGGGAAAGGCTCACAACAACCAACTCATTAATAGCAAAAAGCAAGGGGTTTGGAAAAAAAGAGAACAGCAACACTACCATGGAAGAACAACTTCCTGACAGCTTCTTCCCTGGCTGTGGCTCTACCAAAAAGTTGTCAGCTTCATGTTCAGCAAATTCCCAAGGTCAACATCTCCAAAAAGTGTACCAAATGTCATGGCCCAAATACATCGAAACAGTGTTCAACACCTGTTTCAAAACTGGATGAACGCATGCATTCGATCTATTTATGGTGAACCAATGCTGCTGGACTTTGCGTTGGGCTTCCAAGCGCTGCAAGACCGCCAAGCCAAGCACCGGGTCGACCGGCTGCTCGGCGCCAAGCTGCAGTGGGATGCTGGCCGCTGCTAGCGATGCGATGCAGTACTGCTTGGGTGGGCTCTGTTGCTTCGTAGATTTAGTTATGGGTGGGATTCGAGAAACAGCAGGAAGAATGCAAGCATTTGTTTGGAGTTTGGGGAGCATGTCAATCTGATGCACTCAGGAACTTGACAAGCTTTACAAGTGCTCCCAGCCCAGCCCCTTCTGATACTTCCTGCCTTCATATGGCCACACTTACTTCCTATGAATGTCCGCGGTGGATTCCCCATCGCCAAAGAACCACCGGGGAAATCCAACGAAATCAGACGCAAAGCCATGCAACACGCATCAACAAGCTACCAATCCCCCAACAAAGGCTCATCACATGTGGCCAGTGATTTCTTGCCCACTCAACCCCCCCAAAAAAACACACATGTTGACCAATCCCACAAGGCAACTGCCAAACCTGCCAAACCTCCCCTTCTCACCTCCCAGGTCACGTCTTCCGCGTCACGTCTTTCACGTCTAGGCGACGGCTGCGCTACGTTCCGCGCTCGGTCGACCGGCACGGTGTGTGCAACACCTCGCCTGGCTCATGAGCTCCAACGGCTGGTCACCCCAAGCCACCTGAGCAGACATCGGGGCCGAGGAGACGTGAGGAGACGCGAGGTCAACGGATTGACGTGCGTCGTGTGACGGATTGGACTGCCAACATCGAGTGAAATGATGCCAAATGAGATGACAGTTTCTGGTTTTGCCAGTATATTGGTTTATATAAGAGTTTCTTTGAACCAATGTGAGTGGCTCAAGGGCACAAGGGCACATGGACTAGTACAATCGAGGTGAAGACCCCACAATGAACTGAAAAACATTTAAATCAAACAGTGGCTTTGATCTCACCCATCCGCATGTCTCTCAGGTCTGGACAATTCCAGCCACCGAGGATTTCAGAAAAACCTGAAGTTCCTGCCATTCCGGCCAAGCCACCCTCAGCGCCGAAGAGGGCAAGCCGTCCCCACCCTCCCCTGCGCAATTTCCAGAATCGGAAGATTTCTCGTCCACTGTGGCCATGGATTCTGCCACGTTTGCCCCAAGGAACAACGCGATTCACTTCTGCCTGTCACACAAGGGGGACTAGGTCTGGCCTTGTGATTTGTTGCCTGGGTGATTTGAAATTGCTGGCAAAATCTGTTGTTTTCCAAAACTGTTTGGCACGTAGAGTGGCCCATCAATTTTGACAAATAGTTTGGAAACATGACACTGCAAAGTCTCCTCCATTAACTGTTGTGTTGGCCCAGCATTTTCCTGCTTTGGAGAGTTGCCATCACAGATATAACGCTACATTGTGTCCATTGTTGCGGTGTGAGTGAGTGAGAGTGAGTGAGTGTGAGTGAGAGTGCATCACACATACACACACACCCACACCTTTTTCTCTCTTGCGTTCTTTCTTCGTTTGTTAGGTGTTTCTTCAGGCTTGTTAGGTTGCTCTTGAGGCTCGTCTAGTCGCCCCAACACTTCACACACAACCCTACCCCTCGTTTCTGTCTCTCCTGCCTTTTGTTTCCTTTTCTAGGTCTGACTCTCCTCTAGAAGCTTTTTAGATGTGTAACCAGGTCTTTTTCAGTCACGTGACAGCCAGCTTCCGGTAGAGCACTCTGTCTCTGTGAACCTAAGTAATGCTTAAGCTGTCCAATACGTTGTTTCTTAACTACAGGGCTAATGTTTCCATAGGTAACCTTTGTGAACCTAAGTATGGCTTAAGCTGTCCAATGCTTTGTTTCTGCACGAAAAAGCAAGGGCGCGCCGCAAAGCGCGGCGCGCCCTTGTGTGTGTCAACTCCGTCTCTAGGAGTCCAGGGGACACAGCACCGGGACCGTGTGAAGCGACCGGGTTTCACGGGATATCCAGCTTGGCCAGCTGGATGTGTAGCTGCGTCAATTTTTAAGCTTTGGTAAAGTGCCAGTGAGTGTGTTAAACAGTTCTGTTCTTCCGACTCTTTCGCCTTAGAGCTCTGGTATCCCCACTGGGTGATCGCTCCGCCACGGGTGGAGCTCCACCACTGGCACTGGCACTTGGTGATGCAGCAACTAACTTGTGGTTCTAAGTAGAGCTTAAGCTGTCTCCTTCTGTGTTTTGCAGTAAAGTGCTAATGCATGCTAATGCACTAACTAGCTTCCGGTAAACCACTTTTTGAAACTTATGCTCATTCATTTGAGCCATGAATCTAAGTGTGTGTTGGCCCGTGTGTAAGTTGGTGTGTGTTGAGTTGGTGGTGTCAGTTTTTGTGAGTGAGTTGAGTTGGTGCGTGTGTGTGTGTGTGTGTGGATGCCTTGGAATCAAAGGTCACCTATCGGTGTTAAAATGCAGGGGGCTATCCCTCTCACCATTGGTGGATGGCCAATGAATAGGCCAATGGTGAGAGCTGTATGCACCTGCAAATTTAACTATCTTTTCTGAAACTAAATTTATGTATCTGTTCTGAATCTATTTGAAGGATGCAGGGTTTTCCTCTTGGATTGATGCCAAGTCTGTCCTGGTCTCTTAGGTTTTCTATTTAGGCTGGCGGGTGGTAAACCACCTCCAGTTCCGTACGCAACCGAGTGTGTGTGAGTGAGTGGGAGGCCGCGAGTGGAGGCAGCGAAGGAGGTGGACGTCCTCTCGAAGACCTGAGGATAAATAAGTGTGGGAAACAATCAACTCCGCCTTCGTTGCAAACATCTCAAAATCACCAAGGACCAAGCACAAAAAAGGATATGGCAGTCAGCGCCTTGACACTTTACTTTACAGCGTCAAGAAATATGTCAAAATGTATCAGGCCCACATGCAGCGTCAAATCTGTGATTGCAATTTGTTCAAACACATTTACAGACATTGGCAGGCCAACATAACCATGGACACGATGTGAGCAGCAATGTGTCCACAACATCTATCAAACGTTGGCGGGCAAAATATCAGGATAGACACTTGACAGCGTGCCTAGTGCCAAGGTAAACAAACATGCAAAAACTGCCAAACAATGCCAAACAATTGTGTTTTTCATAACAGCAATGCTTCCTTTAAAAGTCCATGTATCAACATGTTGATGCAAGCCATGTGAAAGTTGACGGGAGAGAGAACAAATTCATCACAGAAACAAAAAAATCACCAAGAGAGGACCATCGAGAGGACCGGAGTTCCTGGTCCATTCTGCCGACGGATCCCCCTGTGGCCACCGGCAAGGGCGTGCTCCGTCCGTGACCTACATTGAGTCGTGCCGCCTGTGGGAGCCACGTGGGAAGCGTGAGGAAGCCACGTGCTTACGTGGTGAACTCTGCCTGACCGTCGTTTGGTGCCCAGCTTTTGGAACTAAGAACTCTCTACCCTGACACATGGAGGCTCCATTTCTGGGAGGCGAACGCGAAACATCTGGCTCTGGAGGGGGTACGTACCCTACCCTCACACATGTGACATGTCTGATGTCACCCTACCCTCAACTGGACGTCTGATGTCACCCGAGCGATGTCCGCTCCGTGTCGAGTCAAGTCCGCACGCGTGGCCTTGGACGGCGCAGCAGCCAGTAGAGCAGAGGGAAGAGATTCTGGACAGCTTGAGGTTTCGTTTTCGCATGGCAAACCTGGTCTGTATAAGTTTAGATAACACCTGATCTGCCTTTGGTGAGTTGAACAATCTTTGAACTGCGAACAAGGATGTGAAGCCCGGGTGCCTCTGTCTATTCATGCATGGCGCCCTTTGATCAGTCCTTTCAACACATGGCCGGTCGTGGCCGGTTGGGCCTTTGTCTCCATCTTCCAGCTCCAAGAAACGGTGGAACCGAGGACCTCTGGGAAGAGCCGGGTCGGGCTCGCTCTCCACACCACGGCCCGACCCGAATGGCGAGTTCCAAAGCTCCTCACTGGTGTCACTAGAATGCATGCAAGTTGAATGAGAAGCAACTGGAAGATATCTAAAAACACTTACACACACACAGTCTTTTCAATAGTACGAGTACGTCTATGTCATCTATCAACCTGTAGCGAAACGAAGACCTTCACTCTCCGAACTGTCGACAGTTGCAAGAACTGAGCTTCGAAACAAGTGGCTTTGGTCGGTCGACGACTTGCCGTGGCAAAAGCGAAGAGGTCCCAGGGCCTTGAAAGCAGACAGTCTGTCTGTGCATAGCAGTGCTGTATGACGTCTGATAGGCTGGTTAGATAGCAAGCAAACACCAGCTACAAGACAAGAAAGCAGGACAAACACCACATCCTGATGGTTTTCGGTGTGAGTTAACTAGTGACGAACATATGCTAGAAACACCTGCCCATGCTTTTTGGCAGAAGCACTTTGTATCAAACTGTGCTAGGCCAGCTAGGCATCCCCTTCAATACCGGGTGAACTGGCCGAGGTGAACTGGACGTAGGACAGTTAACACCTTCAGCATCCAAGGCCAGGTCTCCTCAATGCGATCCAGGAAGTTCAGCCTGCGGAGAGTCCGGGGGTTTCACCGCGAGGAATCGGATGTGGATGGTATGCCAGGTGAAGTGGGTGGATAATGACCGGAAAAGCACGCAACATATGTATACTACATCATACTACAATCACCCCAACATGTCATGAACATATCCCAGACACGACGATCCATGGGACTGCCATATATGCCATGCCGCCCCATTGACCCCTCAAAGCACCCCAATGTATAGGCATATATAATATATATGCCAGTCCCATGGAGTGTCTGGGTATTGAGACCTTCATAATCCCTCCATACCTTCCTTCGGTGGGGAGCTTCCATGTTTGATCCGAACGGACGAACTCTGCCGCTGTGCGGCAGAAACCGCCTGAAGAGCTGTGCGGTGGCATCGAAGAAGCGGGGCACTCCAAGGAGGCAAAGCCTTGGAGGTGCTGAGGGTCAGTCAGGTGATCCTAAAAGAGGTCCTGGAATGACATGGACATGACTCATGACTGACCATCTTGTTACTATAGTAGCGATGGCCTCCAACCTATAGAAACAAAAGGAGCCTAATAGCGATGGCCTCCACCCTAGTAGCGATGGCCTCCAACATGCATTCATCCTAATCCAAAGTCTCCTCACATCTCGTCCATCTATCGGATTGAACGGAATACAGAATACAATGATCCCATATGATTCCGTCATTCGCAGCCGCATCCATGCCTGTGCGCCCCAACCCGCGTAAAGAAATAGACTGCCCGATTGTGCCCGGTGGGACTCGCAATGGATCGCATGGTTGGGTCTTCGACATTCTCAAGTCCATCCCCACTCTTTCCTCAAAACTCTTGGAGTCCAAAACTGAACTCTTTGAGTAGAAGTGATGCATACCTCACAAATAGTTATACCCCTTTCTCTTTAGACCCCTTCTGCTTAGAGAGGTTCTTGACCTGCCAAATCTCCGCCTCTTCCTCAGCTCCCCGGCGCCACCCGCGGCGTTTTCGCCGGAGCGGCCACGCGGGCCGCGCGGCGCGCGGCGCGCCACTCCACGGTGCAGGGCCCTGGTGCGGTGTGGGGACTGCGTATGGAGTCGAGTCGACTTGCTGGTGGGTCCCAGGAGATAGATCTTTATTATTTCGTATTCTGGTTGATGACTATTTTTATTGTTGTTTTGGTCTTGATCTTGGACCCAGACTGCGCCAAGCAATCCAGCAATCTAAAGACGAGGGCCCCAGGAAGAGATCGAATCAGGTTAAAGGGGTCATGTGGCTTGTGACTTTTGGATGGATCCTGCAGCCACTTTGGCCTGGTGATGCGGACTGGACAGTGCAGGGTTCGGTGTCGGGTGGACTGATGGGCCAGGGAGCAGCTAATATCCGAGAGAATTGAACGGATCTATATGACAGGTCCTGGGAAATGTCAGTTGGATTGACATCGACGCTTCGTGGGGGGTTGGGAAATCTGGGAATGGTATTCTTGCATGGCCTGCAAATGCCTGCATGCAAGAGACAAAAACACCTGGAGCCAGTTGTTTTTGCCAATAAGCTGCAGGTTCTGCCTTTTCCTGTGGGCGACAAACGAGAGAGTCAGCAGATCTACAACGACCACAATGCCATCTCGCTGCATAGCTGAAGCGTTCCTTCAAAGCTTAGTCTGCGAATGCGACTTTCCTTAGAAGGAGCCTGAAACCAAAATATGCAAGGCTGTACATGTGCAATGACGAGGTGTCATGCACGTGCGAGGCCGAAACTATGGCAACCCAGAGTTTGCATCATTCAACCTTGAATATCGTTTAATCAGTCCTCATGCTGGTTCATCCTTCAGTGTATCCTGGGCAACTGCCACTGGTGGGCAAAATAGCATGTCCGGCACATACCCCGAACATGTGCCTAGAGTCATATCTCAGGTTCATCTCCACCCGGTGTGCAGGACAATTGCGTCTAGCCTAGGTACGACCTTCTACCACCTTCTTCCAGCACTGACTCTGCGGTCTCTGTTCACTGACTCTGCGGTCTCACCTGTGGAGATGCGACCAGTTTTCACTGCTCGCGTGCCCTTTCTGCACTGAGTTATCTTAACTCATCATAGTCAGGCATGCAAACCTGTAAACTATATGTGAGGTGCTTCGCAAAAAAGGGGCACCTGACAATGCGTATACTTGTCTAATTTGTGTGTTCATTGAATTAAACTATATAGTTGTAAATCATATCATATCCTGTTCAAGAAAATGCTGAATGTTCCAAACATCGAGCCGTGACCTCACTTATGGGTCATGTTCCAATGAGCTGCCGCAAAGGTACCTGGCAGCTTTTAGGCGCAGTCGATCCGCAAGAGACACGGACTGTATCAAAACAGGCCACGCAAACAAGCTGACATCAGAGCCATACCAAAAACCTCTATCCTAAGCCTTTATACTAACAATGAAACCTATGTAACCCTCTTACTAAACATTTACACAGGAGTTTATGGCCATGGCGCTGCTCAACACTTCTTTCAACAAAAATCACCGAGTCACGAGTTCGTCATGGTCCCAACTGTGCACAGTCGTGCGGCGCCTGTCTCCATGGAGGCGTAGAAGCTGAGCTCTCCCGACAAGGCAACGCCTCTCGGAACGCGTCTTCGGGGGTGTTTTTTTCTCCACCATTCCGGGGCTGCAGTGACCAATATATGCTGGTTCACGGAAGTTTGAGCTGGAATACAGCACAACCAAGAAACCCCAGATGTGGCACCCTCAAAGACTTTAAACACACCCATTGCAAAACAACACTGATCCCCAAGTTGCCCACACCTACATTGCCCTTCCCCTTGATAAATACCGAATTGGAATCCTAAGAACAATGTTCTTTGGCTCTCACTTCGCCTGCACAAATCTCAGCCAGTTCGTTGGCGGTCGTGGCGCCCATCATGGAGCGAGCAGCCTGAGACAAAGCCAAACGACTCGTCAATGGTGGTCGCCCCATCATCCAGCATTATCCAACAGTCCTGATTCTAGTTTTGAAAATTCTGAACAAAAAGTCAGTATTTAACAATTGGCTGTGGCTCACTAGGATGCCATCCCAACCCCCCTTGTAATTCAGAAGGACAATGAAACACCCAAAATATCCCAACATTCTGGATGGTTCTGGATCTTACTTGTTTTCTCCACACACAGATGAGTGCCGCCATTCTCATGTGGCCACCTTCAGTCGCCAACATCCTTCAGTCCCGTTCGCACGTTCGCCTCGCCTCTGTCGACCAGACAGTGTGATATCGAAGGAGACTGAAGGTAGTTCAGGCTTCCACAAATCCGCCCGCACCGAAGGTGCTGAGGCGTTTTATAGGGCACGCGTTACACCGCAAGCACCGCAAGTAGTACTGATAGCTTTAGCTAGGGGGGGGGGGCATTTTCGCTCTAGAATCCTGTGTTTTTCACGTTTTTGGAACCGGCTTAAAGTGCTGGAAGATAAATTCGTGCTAATGTTTGCTATCTTGAAGCCTTTAGGGATGCAAGAAATGCAATTTTCTGCTTTGCATCATCTGCATCATCTGAGCGGTACGTAACATAGCCCTAGAAGTCACTATCTAACGGACGTGTCTGCGAGATAGGGACTTGA